GCATAAGGAAAATGTCCAAATAATTTCAAGCAAATGCAAACAGAGAAATYATAAAATATTGAGCATAGTTACTCCTTAAAGTCACAGAAGTTTCACAGAAGCACAGAGCATTTCCCACTGGGCTGWACTGCAGAAATCAGAAATGCACCAAACCACACCAATTTGCAGGGAACACTTCACAGGCAGCCCAAGGGAGCTTCTGGGTGCCATAAAGCAASTTCTGGACAGCCACTGTGATTGGTTTGTCAAGATTTTGTTGTTATCAGTGATAGAGCAGTTGCATTAAAAACTTCTATTAAATGGGCTTTTTTCAGTTGGGATCTCAAAGAATATTTTTGGCATTTATCATCACTGGTGACTCATCCTTGTGCTACCAAAAACTGTTTTGAAGCAAGACACTGAATAAATATTTGTCAAAACAGCATTTAAAGATGGAAACTGGCAATAAACGTGTCAGAAGAGACAGGGCCGTAATGGAAGGCACTTGAGGTGCCAGGGATGCTACAAAGACTTTTTAAATCCTGGAATTATTTCATTTCTGGTGCAGAATTAGTGAGATTTGTTTATCATTTATCTCTTACTGGCTCTGCAGGAAAACACCTGATTTCTTTGTGCAGATTTGTGAAAGGTGTATGCATAAAGCAGTGCAGGCCTGGSATACCAAGCCCTAAAATAAGTGTTTAAAAGCATAAGAAACTCTTTGAGCTTCAAGTAATAAACAACTGAATTCCATCATTAAAAAGCCCTGTCAAATAAAGCATCATGGTGGAAAGAATGGGACTGGCAAGCCTGGGGKCTTTTATCTGGAGGAGAAATTTCATGTGCAGAGATGATGGAAGCTTGAGCATCCTCTCTGTGTACCCTCACCCTTATAGAACTCAGAATATCCTGTATTTCCCATAAGTATTCACTTGTTTTCTATCTCTCTCAATCTCTCAAGAGGRAGGCCACTCCCATTTTTTGTTATATGAAGGGTGGTCTTCTCAAAAATAACGCACAATAMTTCTCAAATATAAAACACAAATAAAAATTCTAAACAATGTCTAGCAGTCCAGCATGAAAGAACAACTTCCAGGCTAAATGCTGTTCATTATTGGAAATTGCTAATTTAACTAYGTAAAAAAAGAGTCCAGGTACCAAACCAATTTCACTTGACCCTCTTATCATGTACCATAGATTTTTTTCAAAAGTCAGCTCCTGTTCTAGCACAGTAGCTCAGTTAAGAAAGGAGGGGAATGAAGGGTTTGACTGGGCATGGCTTCCTTCTCCAAGGGAGGCCCCTGCTGTGTGCGTGGCCAGTGAAATGGTGAAATGGCAACCAAAGGCCCAGCCTTGATCCTTCAGCAGCTCTGTGCCCACACAGACAAAACACACCACCTTCAGATTTACCTAAACCTTTTCCTCTAGATCCTGTTAGAAAAGTAATTGTTTGGGTTTTTTTCCACAATGAAAAGCACTGCAGGTTTATTTTGGATTATTCAAAGCAATTTATCTCATCCTAGTAAAGAAACAGTAACTTTCTGCGTGTTCATCTGCTTTTTAGACTTAGAATGACTCTGGATCATGCAGTGCATTCCCTGTTTTTAATGGGATCAATATCAATTTTGCCTGTGGGGTGAAGGCTGTTTGCAGAATGATAACATCCTGAAAATAATGCTGCAYTGTGAATAAAGTACACGAAAAGAATGGTCCATCCCTGGTTCAGACACATTCTCCCCCTTAAACTATCCTATTGATTTAGGAGAAGGAAAAACACCTTTTGGCTTGACTGTCCTCATATGAAAAGCAGAATACACTGTCCTATTTCATGTTACATATTCCACTGTCACCAAAGGCTTGGATGCCTTGGTTCATCATTTCAACTACAATTATAGTTTGGTTCACAGCTTTCCAAAAAAAGTAAAAAAAAAACAACCAGTTTTTATATTTTATGTATTGTTCTTTGATGGCCCAAATGTTTATTTGGCTGCCTAAATGCTTCACTGAAAATCACATCTGTGTTCCTCTCCATTTGACACAATTAGATTATGATTTAGGTGACTTTTACTGACTTTGCTACCAAAATTTTTGTAAAGTTCTTGGGTTGAAAGTGTTAAATATGAGAAAAGAAATGACAAAAAAGCTGACAAACACCTCATGGTATTGAATTTAAACTTTTGCATGGGAAACTCAGAAAAAGGTCATGATTCTGAAACAAAGGAAGCACCCGGGCTTACAAGGAAATGGGAATAAGTMAAAGGAAGAAACTCCTCTAGCTGGGCATCTCCTGCAGTTTTATTACCCAGCATTACAGACTTGACACTGATTTTCTTTAACAGTGCTCCTTCCATACCTTCCAGATCACTACCAGTGGATTCCCTCACAACTAATACAGTTAATTCGCAAAAGGGTGAAATCCCAAACTATCTACATTTCTTTTTTTCCCATGTTTCTTCTMAATAGCAAGGATACCTTCAGTAAAAGGTCTGATACCTCTGATACCAGTGTCACCAGGTCACTGCTGAGGGCACATCTGCCCAGGGTTGGGGCACTCTCAGGTCAAGGATCAGCACAGTGAGTGAAAAAWTCACCCAGAAAAGGCCATTAATGTAGTAAATAGGGTCAAATCAACTGAAATCCATACTGGGAATAAATYCTTAGGTTTATGAACTGACTTAAAGACTCAATTTTCCCAGAGCTAAATTGGCAGCCCCTGTCACGTGGAGGTTTCTGACACTTCCCATACAAGGCTGTTCTGGTGTCAGGAGGCTCCAGATGCTCTGCTCAGGTGCAGCTGGATCAAATGTGATGTGGATCCCATATCCAGACAAGGACGGAGCCTGCAGCTGTGTACCAAACTCACCCTCTACAGAAATGAGATCTAGAAAATTCAATTAAACCTGGAACGACAATACGCTCACATCCCTGGTCAGTGCCTTGGAAAAATGAGGAGTCTTGTGGAGTAGATAGAGCCCAGAGCAGCTGGTATCATAAATTTTACTGTTCCACAGTGAGAATGATAAATGATTTCACCAGTTCCAGCTTCACCCTATTCCAAGGTCACCAGATTCCTCTCAGCAAAAACAATCTCTGGGTTGCTGCACTCATAAAGTGAGCTCAGCTGTAAAATGCTCTCCATGTTTTCCTGTGCTCTGGACCAAGCCCTGCAGGGTCCTGCAGAGCCATTTCTGTGCTGTCCTGTCCCATGGGGCACACCGGGCACAGCCCAATTCCCAGGCTGCTCTTAACAAAACAGGGAACAGCAAGGAGCCTGAGGACATGGCACTACAGAATGAACTCTTCTGAAGGTGAGACTTCCAGAGGTATTTCAGTGTCTAAATATTTAAATGAGGAACTGAAGCTACTCTTGAAGGTCTAGCCCAACTTCTCAGAGTGAGTAGTACCCTAACTTGTTTTTAATGTGGTTTTAAAATACCCTGTGCTTTCYAAGGTAAACCGCTCTGGGTACACAGTTAGAGGATGGAACCATTTTACTGCATTAAAGTGAAAATTCCTCACTGCCTTGTCTTCAAAACCATGCAAGTTCCTTACCAGCCCATTATTCACATATGTCTTATTTTCAGTTTTTTTTAATTTACTGTACCATATAGGCCAGATGGAGCATGAAGAAGAGATAAAGCAGCAATTTTTATGAGGTCCCTTCATGACAAAACTTACAACAGTATCACCATGACAATATAAATTTATCTTCATGGAAGTCTAGGCACACAACCCATAACAAACTTTATTTATACTTTAATCTCACTTTCTTTTTCAGCTATAAACAACAGCTGAAAATATACTGTGGAAATCAATTGACAGCAGCTGAATGAAGGGAAATTAATCAAGTGACCTAAAAAAATACTTTCTGTCTCTAGTTTCATCATGTAGGAGTTTTCAGTAGTAGTTAGGAAGGTTCATGGCCAAGACACAAGAGTCACAGACAGATTTCAGTTACTGAGAGGACATTGGTTCTTTCTCATTTTAAGGAYATAGAAGTTGACTGCACTCAATTTTCAAAATCAAAATATTTCCCACAAACTCTGCATCATCATTAATTTAGATGCTTAGTACAGAGTTCAGAAATACAAATCCATCTTCAGCATCCAGAACAGCCCTATATGAGGTGATATCAGTTACCCGACTCGCAATCTTCAATATGATTTAATTTAAATTAGTTTAGAGACACTGTAAGGTTCCATATCAAGCACAGCAGAAACTGATTCCAGATGGGTTAATGTAAAAGCAAATCGAGTGCTAGGACCRCCACAGGCTTTCTTACCACACTCACCTGATAAACAGCATGAAAATCTCATTTTTATATGCATTTAGAAGGTGAATTAGAAAAGCAAACATTCCTATACCTACATCTTCAATAGCATAGTTTGCATTCAAAGATAAGAAGAAACTTGCTTTGAGATAATTGCACTTTGCTGAAGTCTGTCTTCTTTCATCCAAATGATCCTTATCCTGCCTAGAATTAATAAATCTATGAAAGGCAACTYTTATCTCTTTAATAATAATTTTCTTGCAATATACTCTTAATAATAAGGAGAAATTACATACAGTACAGCACGTGAAAGAAAAGGTCTGTGGATTGGATTTACAATATAATAAAAGTGCCTTTCTGTGTGTCAGCATCTTCTTTACTGAAAAGGTTTCTATCACTTCCATTGTGCTGATAAAGCAGATTTTTAAAAAATGATAAATGGAAAACTTTTAGGGAACTATATGCACCATCACATCTCTCTCCACTGCCAAGGGATATAAACCTCTACTTACCATTTAAAGAGACTCAATTAAAAAAAACAAACCAAACTACTGCATAAAATGACTCAACAAAGTTAACTCATTTCTCTCTTTTTATGTGGATCCCAATTAGAATTATAACAGCGCAAGCTGCAGTGTAACTGCAACGGATTTCAGACAGACTTCTTGAACCAAAACAGTGGCACAGGATGTGTGTGGTTCCCTGCTTTCCCAAGGGGGTGAGGAGCAGGAAGGGCCATGGGKCAGAGTACCTGGTCCAGTTTCCAGTGGAACTCGGCGGGGCGGAAGGTGTCRGCCTGGTCAAAGTCCTTGCGCAGCAGGAACACGAGGCGGCAGTTGTGCACGTAGAGCGCGTAGTGGTGCCGGTTCATCTCTGCGGGGAGGAACAGCCAGCTCAGCCCCCTTGGGCTCTGAGAGCACCACAGCACCCAGCCAGGGAAGATAAACCCCAAATGAACAGCCAGCTCAGCCCCCTCGGGCTCTGAGAGCATCACAGAACCCAGCCAGATCAGAGAAACCCCAAATGAACAGCCAGCTCAGCCCCCTTGGGTTCTGAGAGCCCCACAGCACCCAGCCAGGGAAGAGAAACCCCAAATGACTGAGCTTTGTCATGGATCGTTATGGTTCTTGGGGGCACCTTCTTGAATTATGCCCTATCAGCTTTGTTTATGGCATCATCCTCTCCAAGCTAATAAATCCAACCCTAATACATATTTCATCTAACTACTTCTGGTGAAGAATTACAACTGTTTTTCCCAATCTAAATAATGAAAAATAATTAAASATAATTTAGTTATTTTATCAATCAATTCCTGTGAAATCTCTGGCTCTGTTCTCCCAGCTGTGTTTCAAATGTAGGTGGCCATCAGTCCMCTCAATAAGCTCTCAAGTCAGCAATGAATTTTTTTCTCAGACCAGATTACATTAGAGGAGATGGCAACATTAAATAAGGAGAGAAGTCAACACTCTACTACTGTTGAATTCCCTTTCCATAACATTTTTCCATACACAGGCTCACCTGTCTTGTCAGAGTTGCAGAGAATAGTCTCCTTCTCAGCTCTTAACCCTGGGCTAGGTCCATGTTTCATCCACAGAGTGATGGTGAATTGGTCAGTTAAGTTTTTTGGGACTATTCCATCTGGAATTTTGGCTCCTTGCTTTCCATCAAATTTAAAAATKATGTCATTGCTTTCCATTTGCAGCCCAGCTGTCCAGTTGGTTGTTGCACTGGGCGATGGTAACAGGTCAATGGCACCTGAGGAAGCTCCTGCAAATCACACGGAATGAATAACGTGATCAGAGATTAATGAAAAACTGTGGAGTTTATTTAATATAGGCCAGGGTTCTGATTCACACTATTTTACTACCCAAATGKTCCTACCAGCTTCMAARCCAAATCACAGAAACATYATAAAACACCRACCATCATAAACMGCAAGAGTTTTCTAGATTAAATGTRTTGCACAAAAAGCTACAGAAAATATTGTAAAGTTATTTTTCTTGGAAATTTTCATTATCTTCTGAAATTCATTAATGACATTTTTTCAGACATTTCTATTTCAGGTACTGCTAAGAATGAAACCAAATTTTCGGCATTTCTCTTCCCTCCCTGACACCATGAATATTTGTGGGGATGGTGTGTARTGGGGATGAACGCAGAGCAGGTCACACAATGTCCATGGATATCCACAAYAATGCTGGCAGCAATGTCATTCACAGCAGGGATTCACCCTGACCAGATAATATCACTTTAGAGCTGCTTTCTGATACATCCTGGATGGCTGTAAGTCCATGTGCTCTTTAATGYAGAGAGATGGAGAACACTGTGGTGCCCATATCTGATAAAACAACACAGCTTTTCACAGCTCAGTGTTTTCTTACAGCTTAACRACTGCCAGGCACGATTAAAAACAGGTAAGGAGCTACCCAGAGCATTTACCTACTGGTGAAAGAGCATTTAGCAGAGAATAGGATTTCAAGAGTAAAAAGCACAAACAATCATTACATCCCTGTTGCTGCTTTGTCAAGGAACAATATGGTGAGCAAACTGTGATGGCATAAAAATCCCCTGCTAAGATATTCTGCCCTCCTTCACCATCCAGGGAGAGAAAAAATATCTYAAATCTCTGCAAGAGCACAAAACTTCAAGTCAAGAGTGTGCAGGATGGTTTCATACAGACATTTTAAAAAAAAGTAATRTAGTGATGATTTGAAAACATTCATATTATTCAGTAACTGAATGTCTTGGATTCTCCTCCAAAATTTACTACCATAAAATGAGGCTGTTTTGAAATGATATTTTGGATATCAAACCTAACATGTTCATATCTAACCTACATGTTCATAATTTGAGCATGGAGGCAAAGTGTGTTTATTTTACAGATTGCAATTCTGGATAACAAACAACACTGCACTACTTCATACAGAGATGTTAAACACAGTAATACATCAAATTCAATTTATCCAGATGGCACAATTTGGGATAAACTTTTTTTTCCTCCTTTAATTCAAGTCACTAAAAATGAAATTATTTGCCCAGGACAGAAGTAAAATCATTATTTTCTCACTCATTTTCCTTCTGAGTTAATTTTTATATTCATTTTTTTAAGCTTACAGAAGTAACAGAAATTGCTTGCACCACGGTGTATAGCAAAGAAAATACACTTTTAAATGGGCTTGTATCAGGTAAAGGATGAGCTCAGAGAAGTTTCACCTCTCACTGTCTACTCTGGCCACAAACATTTGGAAAGATCTATTTTTACTGTTAGAATTAATCTGAGGGGAAACTCCAGAAKGGMATTCTYTCATGGTCASAGAATCWTCARATGGTTTGGGTKGGAAGGATCCTTAAGGATCAGTGATGCTGCTCGCTGAGCTGGACCAGACTGCTGGCTTAGCTGGAAACGAATAATCCAAATAACAACCAGCCCAAATTACACATCTTGGTCACATAAACAACTTCCTCTGAGCTTGTGATGTTGCACAACCCAGGACAATGGAGAGGGGCAGGATCTCAGGGAGCAGGGCCTTGAAGCTGATACTCAGGGTTTCCTCCTTCAGTTTCTGCCACATGTGAGAATTAGCAATCCCAGTATTTTCTATTTTGTCAACATTTACAGGGAAAGGAGACAGCACCAGAGCYATCTTTGCACTGTATTTTAGGCTCCTTAACCTATATTTTTTAGTGTGATTTATTCTGGGTATGTTTTTGCAGTCCAAATGGTGTCTTTTATACAGTTCGTGCTTTTTATTATTGGCAGGTGACAAAGTGAAAGAATGCTTACTAAAATGCTTTGAGGCACAACACAAATAGCTMCTTGACTTTAAAATGACTCAAGCGTGATTTAATCACTTAAGATGACCACTTTGACCATCCAAGGGAGTGCAAATCTCTGGGTTATTGAAAAGCAGACATAAACCTTCCATCATATGAAAAAATTAATTTGAATTCACCCTCCTTAGCCATCAGCATTCTCCATATTTCCAACAGGAAAAAAGAAGAAATGAGATTTGTAAACTGGATCTCTGATTATTCAGGGACAGCCTTGCTTTTCACACGGTGCAGATCTGCCTGGGACTGCTCAGTTCTGCACTCTCTGCAATTGCACTGTGCTTCACCATACAAAAAATGCAGGGCTTTCTTCCTTTTCAAAGGATTTCATCATCCAGCCATTAGTTACAATAAGGTAATTTCTGGGAGAAAACTGATTTCCAGAAATAATTTAACCTGCTTTCATAAGAGCTCTCTCTACATTAAGGATGGTAATAAATACTAAATAGCAAAGTGCAGGGCAGGCTAAATGCAATTCTCATGTAAAGCACATTGTCACTCACAACCCTTTTATCAAAGTCCTGTTACAAGTTCCTACCATGTCTGCTCTCTGTGAAGATATGGAAAACTTGGACAAAAAAAAATATTCATTCAGCAGTGAGAACTTTCCCCTATTTACATACACTTTTACATTCTTATCTATTTTCTGGAGTGCTTTCCATTCTGTTCCTTCAGGGATGTGCTGAAGTTCAGCAGTGATGCCTGCCCAGTGCTCTGAGCTGCCTGCAGCCACCACAATGGCCTGACAGACAGATGGAATGGCTTTGATTGCTCTGCTCTTCACAGACAATGATTTGGGGCTGGGCACTATCAGCAAGCACCTGGCTTTTTGAGGAGAAAAAGAGAAACTCGTAATTCTCTTTTCTACTCCAGTGTCGGCAGGTCAGCCACTGACTACAAACTGAACCCCTTAGAGTTRGCACAACTCCCTCAGCTGAGGGATTTTACATCAGCTGAAGGCACCTCCTTTCAGCCCCACACTCGAAATGATAATATTGTCTGGYGTAGCTGCTATCAGTGTTTAATTTCAAGGTAATAATTTTGTGGTTTGTTCATAGGGCTCTGCACTGGGTGACTGTGCCATTGCAGTTCAGGTCTGTGACAGCACAAAACCACGTTCTTATTGCTGCCAGTTTGGGCTCTTATTGCTGCCAATTCAAGTTCTTATTGCTGCCAATTCAGGTTCTTGGAGGAGGCAGCAGCACTTGACTTTAGCTGTAACATCTTTATTTTTATTAAAATTCTAGTATTGTATGAAATCAAGCCTTGCTGAGCCTCTCAGATTTAACGCCATTAACACGATTGAGATGAAAACCCATCTGCCCCAATATACACCTGCTCTTCTAGATCCCAGGCAGTGGGACCAAGACACAGAACTAAAGTTGTGATTGTTTCTATAATCTTGATTAAGCAATTTTCAACTTGAAAACATTCAGATTTTATGGCAATGCCACTGCTTCCACTCACCTTTACCTCCCTTTCTCCATCTCCACTGATAATTGATAATCACAACTGCCAACTATTTTTCCCTGGAAATTGTTTTCCCATTTTCAATAATTTAGTAATAGTGGCTAGAAATTTTCATTTATAAAAATTATTTCCTAAAGGTTAGTGTATTGATCTTAACATATCTGCAGCACTGCTGTGTGGTTATAAAAGCAAATATAAACCCTACAACAGAGCCCCCCAAACCAAAATCCACGCATTTAAATGGAAAAATTGCACAATTGACACTGTAGATCAGACAGAAGCCAAGTAAAGAGACATTTTGGAGAAGATGAGGATCAATGTCCACACCATCAGCGCTTCAGAGGAGGACTCTAAACACAGGATATTAGAGGAGCAGGAGAGACAGCTGATCTCAAAAGATAAAGGGATTAYTGTGTGGCCACTGCTTCACCAGATACAGAATCCCGAAGTCAGAAAAAAAATGCAGCAGTATCTTCAATATTTAATCTGCCTTTCAAAATTAATTTATGCCTTTCACACCAAGTTATCAGAAAGCACAAAAAGGGAGAAAAATAATTAGGAAATATTTCTCCACCATGTCAGCCCTTATCTGAAACTCATGTTTCTTAACTATTTTTGCTCAAATGATTGCTCAAAGTATTCTTTGACTTTTTGTCAGTTTGTCTTCTGGCACAGCACAGGGCAGAGGAACAGAAAGGTGAGTCAGGACTAAAACAGGGAGATTCAATTCCCTTCTGATCCTATGGACTTGCTGTGATKGCAAATCTGTCCTGGAAATCTCCCCACACCAGAGTTTGTAGCAGAGAGAAGAAAGAAGGAGAAAGGCAGGGAATGAGGAAAAAGGAAAAATAGAGAAGGGAGTAGGAGCAGGAGAGAAGAAAATAAAGCAAAGCAGGGAGAAAACATGAAACAGAGTGAAAACAAATGGGAAAGAAGAATGCAGCAGCTGTCAAATCCCACCCCTGTCTCCATGTACACTGCTACAACCCAAAGGGAAGCAGCTGAGCTAAACCCAAGCGCTGCATGCTTACAGATCACAGGAAATTGGCCCTTCAGCTGGAACAAATATCATTATGACAACAGAAAACCATATTCATACCACATAACTTCTGCAGAGATTTTTCCGAGTAGGTTTCCCGATCGCAGCCCTTCCCAATGAAATTGGTCTGCAGTTCAATGGTGCTGTGGATGGAGGAGACTGGCCCATCACACGTTTCCAGGYGGATGCTGGGGAACAGGGGAATGCTGCCGGAGCCAGGCCTGTACTCAATGCGCTTGTCCCAGTCTGGAAAAACAAACAAACAAATTAACAAACAAAAAACAACAAGTTCAATGTGAGTAAAAAAGGGAAGGAGTTATATAATTTCAAATGACACACTGCTCTCAAAGGTCACTGTCTAAGGCAAAAATCAGAGTTTCTGAACTTGGCAACAATAAGCTACTGTCCTAAAAAAATTGGATTTTGGCCCTGTTTGTCTAAGGGTGTCAGGCTCAATTAAGTAACACCAGTGCTGGTTGAGTCCCACATGCCTGSGGTGCCACATCTCTGACAAGAAGTGCTAATTGGTGCCAGTCTGCAGCTCCAGGGGCCGTGTTCCCTGACAGACTACAAGGCAGCTCCGCAGGGACGTGTGTGCTGCACCCAGCTGGGTCAGACCCACAGAGCTGTGATAACAAACACCTCCCAGGAGCAGGCTGTACACTCAGCCTAATCCAACACCTCTGTGGGGCCGCTTCTTGTCTCTGAACAGCTTCCTAATTTTGTGCAGCATTAATGACACAAGTTCTAGCTGAAAGGATGACTCGTGCTTCCAGCCACATCTGACTAATCTGTGCTTACACAGCCCACAACATTCAAACAACGCCCTGCCTCAGGCAGCCACCTGTTTGWGCCACACACACCCCTGTGCTGCTCAGCTGAAGCATTTAATGCTTTAAATTCAATTAATTATGGGGTTTGCAACATGCTTCAGAGAAAGCYCAAACAAGCAGCAGTGATTACAAACATGTATTTTATTTTTCTTTCCAGTTTCTATTTTCATTGAGTCAGAATGGCCGGAGTTGGAAGGGATCCTCAAAACTCACTTAGCCCATCCCCAAGGAAGGGACCCCTTCACACTCAAGGTTGCTCCAAATCCCATCCAACCTGAGCTCAGACAATTCCAAGCATGGGACATTCACAGCTTTTCTGGGCAACCAGCATCTCACAGGATAAAAAATTCCTTCTTATATCCAATCCAGACGCAACTTAAAGCAGCTGCCYCTTKTCCTGTCACTACAGCCTTCAGTRAAATGTTTCTGTCTGTCTGAAAAACTCCCTTTGAACACTGAGAGGCCTCAGCAGGAGCTCCCAGGAGCCTTCTCCAGACTGCACAACCCCAGCTCTCACAGTSTGTCCCTAAAGGAGAGATGCTCCAGCCCTCTGGCCATGTTTATGGCCTTTCCCTACGTTGCTCTAACATGTTCAAACCTTCCTAGATAGAAGAAGATTTCAGAAATGGAAAAACTCTACATTGTGGAAGCCAACAAAATCTCTGAAAGCAAATTTACCAAGACACTTTCTAAATATCAGTGGAAGGAGRACCAATAGGAGGTACATATATGTGTGCATTTAGTAGTAGGTGAAGGAGTTYGGTGTTTTTCAACGGGTCTCATTTTCAGAAAGCTTGAAAAATGCTSCTCTCTCCCATGGTCTCAAGCTGCATTAAACATTTCCAAGAAATTCTGAACATCCCTGTAAACACTTTGAAGTGTAAGGCAGTCATTAGTCYAGAGGCCAGACTTAGACACCAGTCTGCATTTTAAAATACATAAAGATTTTCTTCCTGACATCATCCAATTGGTAATTGTGCAGCATCTGGTTATCAAGAGGAAGGTGAGACTTCATGGAACATTCTGAAAATGTGTTAGTATCTATTTTTACTAAAATCTTTAGGACTTGTACATCATGACTTAAGACAACCATGACTGCCTGTGCACACATAACTGAGTTGCTATTTCAGTATTCATTTTCAGGTAATTCACTCCATTTGTTCCRTATTAAGTTACATTTGATCTACAGTATTGCATAATTTCTCTGCAATTGTCAGCTGAAACAGTTCCATTAGAATTTCAAGTATCATATATGGGACATCATTACAATATTAGATTTCTGTTCCCTCTCCATTTCAAAAACTTGAGGTTAACACTTTTCCCATAGAACAAGAGAAGCAAATTCTTTCAGATACTTCAGGTAAAAATAAAATAATTTGCTGGTTTTGTACAAACTAGCAATATATGAATTATTGATCTTTATAATCTCTTATTCTGGTTAAGGCATTATATTCCTCTACCCAAAAGGGAAAGTAAAGGAAGTCTCATATAAATCTGAAACCTTTCTGACTATTTCAGCAGCTTTCAGCACCACTTTCATTCCTCAGCTATATCAAATGAACCAGCACTCATGCCAAATATTCATAAGTGGATGTGAGGTCCGACTGAATTATGAACTGCAAGTATCTGCAGCAGCACACTCACCTCCAGCTATACGAGGGATGTCCTATAAAACCCACACCATATAAAATGCCACTGCTCACAAGGAAGAATAATGGGAGCCCTCTGTTTCTGCCACAAGAACTGGAAGAGGTATTTCGTTTCACGGTATTACCTTTCAGCTTGGCAGAAGTGGGAATTTGTACCCAGAGATCATAAACCCTGCACCTCCTAAATCACTCACATTCATCTCAGCTCCAAATTGTAAAACATCACCTGGACTTGATCCAGTGTCTTTGTCCCTTGGTCCRCTGCATCATCACAGAMCARTCCTAATGATGCCYTAGGATTTTTAGTTTCTATATTTTCATGCATCTGTATTCTTGTACTTCTCTAGAACAATGCTAAAAACTACCATTCTCCCATCTTTAAACAAAATAATTCCTCTCTGAGCCTGGATCCAAGGACACCTCAYTGCCTCAGAGCCCCAAAATATGGAAACAACAGCGAGCTGGGGGGAGTGAGTTTGGGGTGGTTGAAATCATCATCTGAAAATATCCTTGGGGGTTGAGGCCCAATATGTTCATAAGACAGAACTTATAAAAGGTGAAGATCTYGTGACTCAGGGTCCATTTTGGGTGTAGCCTCAGGAGGAGGCTTTGTCTGCCCTAATGTAYCAAGAGGCCTGTTAGACCTGGATCAAAGTTGTCTGCTCTCATTTTCTTAAGTTTGTCCGGCCTCTGTTTCAGCTGAGCCAGATTTTTAAGGCATCACTCACCCTAAACCGCAGCAGCACTTCTTTCCCTTCCTCATCCAAACTCGGCCAACCTGGCTCCCCTTGGACACAGCCCTGGCACCAGTCCTGCCACAACAGCACCACGTCACTCTGCAGACTCAGGAGGGCAAACACGGCCAGGGTTCAGACTAATCCCATGGGGAAGCCTCAATAAAAGCAGCACGGTGCAGTCCTGCAGCCTCTGTTTGGATTTTTCATGCCAACAGGCTTTTGCTCACCACTGGTGGTGTAAAGCTGCTTCAGACCATGTAAGAAACCCCAGCTGGATTATCCCTACAACAACATTAGAGTGTAAAAGCCACTGTGCCAGGATTGTGGTTCAGATTTCATCAATTATAAAGCAACTAGGTARACCTGGATCTTGATCTCTGGCAAACTCTAACTATCCCAAGATCAAAATGGATCAAACTTTAGTGACAGTTTGAGCCTTTAAAAGTAAATCCCAAGGCACTAAATAAATTTTCCTTTTAAYAGAAGGATAATGTAAAGACTTTCCTTTATCTCTGCACTCAAGGTTTTCTGTGCTGTCTTTGTGATCCATGTTTTATATTTTAATTCATTGCTAATGCTAAGTGACACTAAGAAGGATTTAATCTGATTTTTTTCCTTGGAGATTGTGCAGAGGATGTATGATCTGATTCATGTCTCCTACACGTGTGTGGCCATAAACTCTGATTCCATCTCACCATGTTAAAAACGATGGCAATGTAATTAAAGATGATTGTAATACAATGAAATGCAAAACTTCTGTTTCACTCAAGATGTATATCTTGGCAGCTAAATGTAAGATCAAATTTATGTGGTGCTGTGAGGGAGCCTCTGCAGCATCCTCACATAACTGCTGGAACAGAAGGTTCCCAGAGCACTGTAATTGGTATCTCCTCTGTTTCCTCAGCAGCATCCTCACATCTGTGCTGTCTGTAGGCTGGAGATTTGGCTAAAGGTTACTCTGCTGCCTTTTTTATGTGAATCAGATGAATGACTTATTAATGAAATGATAAAGAAGATCTGACTGAGGTAAAGGGTCTCCACAGCAAAGAGAAGCTCAGACTGCTGTACAAAGCTCTGCTACCGCACCCTGGTTTGCTGAGAGATTTGAGTGCACATCTCAAAGCACAAACAAACRTTCACATACACCTGTTCTTCCTGCAGCATGTCAATAGCTTTAGAAAAACAAACAAAAAGGAGTCAGAAATGTGTGCTTAGTGCAGGGCAGGGGAAAGGCTGCTGCTGCAGGAGCTGGCGAGCCCTAATGGAGTAACTGCTGTGCCTGACCTAGTGACACTCAAGATTGCATCAAATGATAAAGCACCAGCTGTAATGGTGCCTAATTATGTGAAATGAACAGACAAGAATCTAAAAACCATAACAACAGCGTGGGTTAAGCTATGACTGTTGGGAGATCACATTTGAATAATGCATTTCCCGCAGTGTCAGAGCCCCAGGAGCCCTACAGAACCCCCACAGGCTTCACCTGGGGTCCCCATTCACCCCCTGGAGCTCTGTTTAGGCTCAGCSCCATCAAGCTGGGCTGCAGCTGCTGCTCTGGCTCGGCCATGGGGTCCCTTTTTCCAGGAGCCAGCCCAGGCAGAGCCTCATCACCATGGAGCTGCCAGTGACCTGATCCCATCCCTCACCCATGGAYCCACTCCCTGGAGCTGCCTCCTCACCACAGGGGTGAGCCTGGCCCTTGTCTGGGTGTGCTCTGCTCCTCTCCTGGCCCTGTGAGATGAAAGCTCTGCCAGAAATGTGATTTCAATGAGCTCTTTGCTTTCCTGTAGGAAATAACCTTGTTCTTGCCAGGTTGGGATTGGTCACAGACTTGTAATGCCTCTCCTGAAGTGTCTGCAAAGTGTTTCTCACATTCTAAAGGACAGACTCTGAAACCCTGCATGGAAACCCAAATCAATGAACTGACTGTGTCATAACTAATGTGGAAAGTCTCCAATTTTTCAGCCCAAGGTCTAAGATTGTGTGGAAATTTTTACATGCAGAGAAAAAAAAAAAAAAAAAAAAAA